ACACGTCTTGTTCAGTCCTCTACTCCATTCATCACAACTAAACACGGGTGTCTGCTCAATAAAAGACGATGATGCAGCAAACATCTTTTGTCTTTATCAGTATGTTACAGGTCACAAAAGCTCACATGCATTTGAACCAGAACACAAAAATGTACACATTATTTAAAAGGATCAGTATGAAAATAGAAACAGGCCAGAGTTGATCAATAGTTTGTCTTCAACAGGTTGTAAGGGTGCATGTGCAGGATGAGCTAACAGGTGATCTGTTTCACTCTGAGTGTGTCAAAACTTGAACACACATGGTGTAAATATACATTTATAATATTTAAAATTGCAGATTCACAGATTATTATCACAGCACAGTGAAAAAATTCTCAACAGTGATCCTGTTGTGAGTCAGTGTTTTGGGGTTTTTTTGCTCTGTGGTCAAATTTGTCAGGCTACAGTTTTGTGTTCGTGTCCCTTCCTGTTGAACAATCATACCCCCCTAAGTTCTGTGTGGCTGCTGTATTTGCAGCAGAGCTGTTGAAAAGGGGGGAAGTTTTCTTGAGTTCACATCAGCACTGTTCTTTTTGTTTCATAGCAAGAATCTCCAGAAATTGTGTTAATGTTTTTTTTAACTACTTAATAATAATAAGCTAACAGAAGTTGTGATAAACAGCACAGTCCCATTTAAGGAAACTTGAACTTCATTCATTTATTTTTTCTTGCCTGAAATTCTCACTGAGGGCTCATATTTTCTTTATGCCTGGTCTAGAAGTCAATTTAATTTTTAATGGATATTAATCTGGAATTTGTTCCCATATCACTCAAATCTAAGCACATATGACACATGACCATCCCTTAGAGAAATGCACCCAAACTACTCCATACATTACAACAAGCAAGCATTACAACAGACCAGCAGCAGCATGCAGACTGCAGCATAGTCAGGCTGTCTATGTGCAGATGGCACAATGAAAATATAAATCCAAAGTCCAAAGACACCGGCTATCAGGACAGACGCTCTCTGTTAACATCCAAGTCATTTAAGCTACCAGCTCTCTAGGTAGTCAGACAAAAAGGGTGGGGAGGATGATCCGCCTCCATCCACCTCAAACTGACTGCCAGATCACACCCACCTGTTCTCATCAGAACAGGAACAACAGCTTCATGTCTCAGCTGTGAAACCTCAAAGACTTTTATGAAAAGATCTCCAGCCGACGGGAAGATTTGTGGCTGGGTGTGAAGAAAAAGAAAAGAGGCTCATAATAATATTCTGTGTATGTGGAGAACACGACACGTGGTCGCCTGTTTGCCTTTGGCCATTTAGTCATCACAAACAAAGGGAGATTGTTTTCTTTAGAGCAGTAGATCTGTTGTAGGCTGTGTGGAAACTCTCGGTCAGTTTACAATTCCGTTTTTTAACCAGATGTCACGGATTCATGTTTTCTTGGAAGCTTCCGCGCTGATCTCGACAAACAGTGTAAACGTACCTCTCCATTAATCTCCCGCCGTCGTCCGTGAAGGGGCCCACGTGTTCCACGCGCTCGCCTTTGTCGATTAAAATGACTCCAGTAAACCTGAAATACAACGGAGAGCTAAAGCTAGCTTTGTATGACTGCGCAGGGAACAGAACGAGGGAACAGAACGAGAAAACGCTAACTTCCTGTTTTCAGACCGGATGTAGAGTTGTAGAGTTCCGGTAGCTTTATATTGCGACCTGTCGCTACTGCGAAGATACCAAAATCATGTCCAAAATACGAAAACGGAAAGATCGCGTTAAGCTACAACGAGCAGAAGGTGGGAACACTCACCACTGCTGTGTCCCGCTGTGTACTGCCGGGGGGAGGTTTAACAAGATTTTAAGTTTCCACTGCTTTCCCAAGGATCCTGAATTGCGCGCACAATGGCTGATGGAAATCAGAAGGCACGGCTTCACAGTTACGACCAGCTCTAGAGTGTGCAGTCGGCATTTCGAGACTGGAGACATCTTCGTGTCTTCCTGTGGGAAGCGTTGTCTTCAGCCCAAAGTTGTCCCGTCGTTATTCCACTGGAATAATTTTTCGAAAAAGACAGAGCGAGCTGGAGTTTTGGAGCATCACGTTAAATATGAAACCATATCAGGGGAGCTCGACGAGCTCAGGCTGCAGCTTGAGTCTTATCAGTCGACTCAGGGACTGCAGCGATTTGCCACATCAGCTGATGACATTCGGGACTGTACAAGGTAAGAAATCCTCAAGCTTCCGATTAGGGAAATGGATAAAGAGCAACTTATTCTCTACTCTAAGCATGTTTGATCTGCTCCAGAGCAAAAACTACACAACCCTGACATTTCAAACCTGTACTTGATTATTCCACACTAATAGCAGAACAAAAGCACAACAAAACAACGATTTTATGAAACCTTTCTGTGATTTGTGAAACTTCAATAAAGACAGATTTCAGCACTTTCTTTGAACTTGCTTTAAATGATTCCGCATCTCAAATTTCAAATTCTGATCACCTTAAAGCAGATGAAAAGCATTTGATTACATGAAATACACTTTATTGAAGCAAATGAACCCTATGAACCCCCAATAACACAAACCGTCAGCTGTTGATTGAAGTCACCTCAGATCTCTGGTCCAGGGAATACAGCTTAAATCCATCAAGAGCAGATAATATAAAGCAAAAGGGCTGCTAACCTTGACTATATATTAAAATATTGACCAAAACAGCAAATGCATATTCTCTTATAATCCTGGCCACTGCTTTCCCCTTCTCTGTACTGCTTTTTTAACCTGGTTTAATCTTGTGTTTCTTTGCTTTCTGCACAGCTTTTATGACCAATTTCCAAGAATCTCATTCATAGATTTAATTAATTGCATTAATGCAAAAAAAACCCCTAAACAATGCAGTGCCCCCTACTGTCACACAATGTGTAATTTAATATCTCAGAGGAGTTTAACTTAATGTCCTCTCTATGAAGGTATCTACACAGGGTGCAGGTCAGATGTACAGTAGCTGGAAGTGAGAACAACTGAAAAAACCCCACAAAGTTTAAAGTTGCAAGAACAGCTAACAAAGCAAAATTAGTATGAGATCTGTTCTACTGTGGTCCAGATGCATAAAAATGTGTTAAATGAACCTTTATTTAAACATTTCACAAATCCCATATATGGTTTTAACGTAAACCACTCTGAAACTCTTTATTCTTCTTTATGTTACATACAGTTAAATCTCACCTGCAGACACGGACACAAAGACGCCAGCAAGCAGCAGAATCGAGCAAAGAAATATGCGTGTTCCTGCAGACATGTCTGATGACCTTTGTTTTTAAAAAGCCTGCGTGCTGATATTATCCGTAAATAACAGGAGCGGAGTTCAAATTTGACTGCGTGAGATCAAATTCGAGGCTCGACCAAAGTCCCAGTGAAACATGTCACAAACTCTTTTGATTTCGCTGGGTTTAAATTATTAAAAAGAAAATAATTCTTGATTAATTTCCCCAAAATTATATCCTCGATTGCCACGGAGAATGCATGAAGCCTTCAAAATCTTAGAAAAAGGAGCTCACAGTGGGCAGAGCCTTAAACCTTGAAGAACAGGCACATCGCTCAGCGAGCTGCTTTCATTTGAATGAGAACATGAAGTGAAAAAATCTGCCCCCACCCACACACACACTTACACACACACGTCCCGATTTGTAAAATGTTATTGGTTCATCATTCCTATCCTGATGTTGTCTCGAGCTCATGTTTGAACACGAGCTATCTTTGGTTAAAAACATCAGTCAGCATAAAGACAACTCACACGACTCTTTTACATGAACTGGTTGGAAAGCAGAACTGATGAAAGATAAGAATAAATAAAGAGGAAAAGCTCAAAGACTTAACAAGGATCAGTGCTACTACAATCTGATCTCAGATAATATAATACACCATTGTATTATATGGTTTTAATTGTTCTGCTCTTAGTGTAGAATAATCGAGTTCAAGTCGATGAACATCATCTACAGATATATAAATGGTAAATGCCCAAGACATCTCGAGATATGTA